GGCAGAAATTTGGCATGATGATAGCTTACATTCCCGATTAACATATAGGCATATTCTTATCTCAAAAATCCTTTCGGGCTCCGCCCCAGTGGCTCTGTAATTCCCCATGTTAACCTTATGAGTATTCATATTTAAAGGGAATTATTAAAGAATTTAGTCAGCTGTTTCAACTAAAAAAGTTGGTTCTACTATATACAAAAGCATTAAAAAGTTATAAGATTTACTAACAGGGTGCAGCACTATATTTTTTTGCATTTATGAAAACAGCTAATTTGAACTAAGCAACAAAAAACTGTGATTCACAATGAGAACTGTCAAAGTAGGATTGTTTACAGTTATGTTTATGTTTTTCATTTCATGAATAATTTGTGATATTTTGCGAATTGCTGATAATTTATTTTTCTGTATTGTTTAGGTGAAGTGGTAGAACATTATGGCTATAGTAGATGTGTAATACTATAGAATACTGAAAATTAAAAAAAAAAACAAATTTTATCAAACTGTGTCCTCCCTTATTGCAAACTCAAAGCTTGAGTATAACTGCAATACACATTTTATACTTATATTCCAACCCCGTACGAAGGACGGGAACTCTGCTAGTATCTCATATATCTCAAAAGCTACAAGCCATAAAAATCAGGAATTTGCATGGAGGTTCCAATCTTCCTCTAGGTGTGCAATAAGAAGCGTTTCCAAGAAATTCTATTGGGGCCCTGCCCCAGTGGCTTTTAAAGTTCCCATATTATCCTTATGGAGAAAAGATTGGTTTAAATTTGAACACATGCATACTTTTGAATCTGCACTGAATCTGCAAATTAAGGGAACAGCTGGTTATATTTTATTAGGTGAAATGAAAATATTTACATTAGTGGCTTCAAAAAGTGTTTTACTGTATAGTTAAATAGTTAATAGTTAAATGAATTAAAAAATCAAGATGTGGTTGGCCCTACTCTATTTTTGTTTGTTTTTAAGATCTTTATGTTTTCTATAATTTAATAGCAGTATATTATTTAACGTGTTCAGAATGTCAATATCAAAGGAACCATTATTTTCGCTAAAGAGTTTAATTTATCATTAGAAGGGATGGCACCTGCCTCCTTCTATCACTTAAGAACTACAGGATTTATAAATTAGTGTTCAAGAAAGAGGATCAAAAATTGTTAGTACAATCCCATCCATTCCTAGCTAGATATAGGATAATGACAATGCCTCAATCATGCAATTGCAGAGTAATAAGTATGTTGTTGTAAAGTCGGAGTTCAAGTATTTGGAGGATTAAATAAATCATTAGTGGTTGAAGTAATTTACAAACTAAAATTTAAAAGTTAATATTGTAAATAAATACGTTTCCCTTAGTTTTAATTTCATTAGTCACACATTCTTAAATATATATAAATTATATATAAATGGATTTAGTCTAATATGTTTTTTTTTATATTTGTTGTCCTATCAGATTAAATATTTAACTTCTTGATTTTAATTTTCGTGAGCGAAGCTATGGCGGGTTTGCTAGTAAATTAATATATTTAGCTTGAAAATGAATCGATAGAAGATAAGTAATTTCCAAAATTATAAATTCACATTTACAAAACTTCATGAGTTATATAGATTAGAATTTCACTGTCAACTAATAATTTGTCAGGCTCTATTACTCATGCGGCACTGATACTTATAAAACGGTCAATGTGCTAAGAAGACATGCTTTGGTGGTCGTAGATAGATTTTATCCTATTTTAAATGCAATTCTTGCATGGCTTGGTATTTACCAACGAGACACAGGTAGGAAATTGGTGTCTTATTCTAATAGGAAATGCGGATCCTGACGGAGAATGGATAACAGAAATAATCATCTTCTTTGCTAGATCCTGTTAAAACTTCGCAATCAATGATATTTCAATACACTAGAGTAACTTTCATTCAAGTTTTATTAATGAAGCCATATCATGAGTTCAAACCTCGAAGTAGCATCACAGAATAACATGATAGCGATGTCAAGTTTAAGACCTATCCAGGATTGCAGAAAACCTCTTCCTTAAAAGCTATTAGGAAACTCAAAAGTAAACTACAATTACTCACTCTTTCATCAACTGGTTCTTTTTCAAGTATTAAGTTGTTGAATTAATTGTAAGCAATTCAATTCGTTGACATAGTGTTTTTGCAGATTACACTGTTTGTGTTATTTAAGGATTCACTTGAATATAAATCATAAAGTGATGCAAAACAATTGCGAAAGTGACAAAGATGCAGCCTCCGAATGACAATGTGTCACTGCCCAGTTTAGCAGAAAAGTAGTAAACCTCTCTTTTTTTAATATCACTCGAAGATTCCGTGTTAGCTTCATTTTCTAGTCACCACAACAATTTAGTCCAAAATTAAACCCGTATTCCTTTCACAGCGAAGGGCTATCTATCTGATTTTGTGTGGTTTATATTTCTAATAAAAGCTAATCGGCAATAATCTTGACTGATAGATTACGCATGTCAAGCAATATTTTTTCGTGAAATGGGTAAAAAAAGCATTTTCTTCCATTAACAGTTGCTTCTTCATAAACTCAAAACTTAGTTTCGTACACAAAAGCTCAAAAATGGTCACGGGAGTATGACCATTGAATTAAATTGTTTACCGTGTTGCTTTGTTAAGGCTAATATGAATGAATATTGTAGAAGGAAAAAGTAGAAGTTTGGTAACTCACTGAAGAGTGGATAATTTTATTAGCTCAGTTCAATTGTAAACGAACGCCAAAGTAAAAAGAAACATGAACATGAAAAAATGTAGTAAATTTAACAAAAGAAGTAAGAACTTCTTACACATATTTTTGAGCAAGCTTTATTTTGTTATTTTCACGTGCTCTACATACGAGTTTCATATACGTCACAAAGCAAGGTTGTATTGACAAAACATGTAATGGATATACTAGGAACATTTCTACTATTCCTGATGTACAGTTTTTCCGTAATCTAGGGCAAATGTCAATTCGAATTGTAGAAGTACAGTATATCTTATTAATTATTTCCTCCTGTGTACAAATACAAGGAAACACCGGGCTGAAGATATTTAACTCGCACGCGCTAGGCCATCCGGCCACGTGGCTAGTAATTAGAGTAGGCTTACAAGGTACGAGCTACAGGTGGCGACACTAGACACTATACATAGAGTAATCTGAGCTATAGCACAAACATTGGACATAGAGAATAGAACTGTGGTCTTCTGCATTTTATATATACAGTGTTGTATGTTATAGGTGGATGAGCTTTGCTAGAGATGTGTGAACAAGCTCCAGGTGGCGACACGACACTACACACGGAGTAATCTGGCATAGCACAAACATTGGACATAGAGAAAAGAACTGTGGTCTTCTACATATTATATAGACAGTGTAGTATATTATATGTGGCTGAGTTTGCTAGAGATGTGTGAACAAGCTACAGGTAGCGACACGACACTATATAGGGAGTAATCTGGGCATAGCACAAACATTGAACATAGAGAATAGAACTGACGTCTTCTGCATTTTATATAGACAGTGTTGTATATTATAGGTGGCTGAGCTTTGCTAGAGATGTGTGAACAAGCTACAGGTAGCGACACGACACTATATAGGGAGTAATCTGGGCATAGCACAAACATTGAACATAGAGAATAGAACTGTGGTCTTCTGCATTTTATATAGACATGGTAGTATATCATAGTGGCTGAGCTTTGCTAGAGATGTGTGAACAAGCTACAGGTGGTGACACGACACTATTTTTTTTTCTCTGTATACACTAACTTGGCGTCTGAACCCTTGACTACCTGCGGAGGGGCCGGGACCGTCCCTCGCTCGCTCACTTCTTGAACAGCTGTTTCCATAATTAGTCACCTAGTAGCACCTCCACTGCAATTATCAACTTTTTTGTGCGGGATGGAATTTTAATTTTTTTTCCGCACAAGCAAAAAGTTCATGAAATTTTAAGAAAAATGATACCAAACTCGACCATATTCCGTTAATATTGTGAAGCTTAAATTATATAAATTTGGTTAATATAAATGTATTCTTATTTAATTTAACGCGATACCTAATCAATCAAGGTAAGGCGTAAGGTGTTATTTATATTAAAAATATGTCAAGTGGGGGGGTTAATAATCCATATTATATAAATACCGTTGATTTTGTCTATGCTTAAACCAACCCTTGTGTCTTGCTGTAGGCCTACATATGACTCACAGTGTTCACAGTCATATTCCGGGAATTGGAGTGATTCACGTCCTAAAACCTGTCCTGCTAGTAAGGGGTGGTAACTTCAGTTCGTAGCGGGTGTTAGCCAAAGTATCGTCGTGCGTAAATTATCCACAGTGGTTGCAAGCTCTCAGTTATTTTAAGTTTGTATTCACGGTACTATCGTATTTATGTTTTGCTTTGAAGTGTGTGCAACAGTTAGTGTTAAACGTATATTTTGTGTTTACTTGGCTCATGTGATGTGATCTGTTCGGAAAATGCCACCATCAACAGAAAAACGAACTACGCCGTACAACTCGCAGGCAAGAACTATTATAGCCTCAGTTTTGGATTATTTTGAGAAGGAACGTGACAACAAAGGACCTTTACTGGATGTGAAAAAGGTTTCCGAGAGAGTAGCTGCAGCATGCAACATTTCACCACGAACTCTGTGTAGGATTAAGGTTCAGTTGAGACACGCAATTGTAGATGACGGAAGTGCTAGCAATGACGACCTCAACATCGAGAATCTACACCCCAACCAGGGAGCCGCAACAGGGAACAACGAACCACCAGGAAGGGACATCAATCACCAGTGCCACAACTTCACACACCGAGACGTAAGAAACCTTTTAAATCCGTTGTATCAGAACTTGACGATTTTGATAAGACTGCTATCCGTAATCATGTAGTAGGCTATTACAGGCGCAAAGAAGTACCGACTCTTCGGAGACTAAAAAATACATTATTTCAAGCTAATTTGTTTACCGGTTGCATTCGGACATTAGCAAAGGTTTTGAAAAGCATGGGATTTAAGTGGAAGAAGTTGGATAATAGAAAAATCCTAATGGAGAAGCCATCAGTGGCCCTGTTAAGGTGCCGTTTCCTACGAAAGATTCGTGACGTAGACATAAAGAAAGTGGTTTTCTTAGATGAAACATGGGTCAATGCGAACATTTGCAAAGACATTGGATGGACTGATAATAGCATAAAATGTACATTGAATTCGCCGTTAGGCAAAGGCAAACGTCTGATTATATGCCATGCAGGAGGGTACAATGGTTGGATTGATGCGCCACCTCTTATCTTCCAATCAAAAAAAACTGTTGAGTATCACGAAGAAATGAACGCTGAAATCTTTGAGGGTTGGTTTTTTGAAGTGCTTCTGAAGTCGATTCCAGCTGGATCCATTATTGTAATGGACAACGCTCCATACCACTCGCGGGTAGCCAATAAAGCGCCCACGTCAGGTTCAAGAAAGGCTGAAATGGTAGAATGGCTAAGCTCCCGCAATATCATGTTTACTCCAGATATGAGAAAACCGGAGCTATACAACCTCATTAAGCTACACAAATCACAGGTGACAGTGTATGAAATTGACAAGAGAGCTGTTCAACTTGGATTTAAAATTATAAGACTACCGCCCTACCACTGTAACTATAATCCGATCGAATTGGTATGGGCAAATTTGAAGAAGTATGTTTCTTCAAGAAATTCTACCTTTAAGCTGTCTGATGTTCAAAATTTATTCATGGAAGCAGTGAACTCTTTGTCTCAAGACGATTGGCGGAGGTGTGTCAACCATGTTAAAGCGGACATCGACTCGGACTGGATAAACGAAGGGCTCGATGATACCAGTGTCCAGGAAATGATCGTACATTTGGCACCTGGTGACTCGGATGACAGCGAATGGGAGATCGACGACGACTCTGACGCGGGGGTGTGGCCATTAGATTAATCAGGTATGTAAATGATATTGATAAAATATGTATAATCTATCAAAAACTACGGTAGACCCGTCGTAGGCCTACACTTTTTACATAAATTTAATTGAAAACATAAACTCAACACGTGCATATGATTCTGTATTTTTTAATCGACAAATGCCATATCCTTAGAAACATGATGATTGTATGATTAATTTTAAATTTCATTTGACCCGTAGAAAATAGTAATTTTGACACTCTAAACCAAATGCTTGTCTTGCTCGCTGTTACGATTAGTTTGTTTAAACAATTTAACATATACCATTACGAATACTTAATGAAACGTACGGTTTAAAAGTTTTAAAAGTCACGTTCACGTTCACAATAGGATTAAATGTGATTGGTTGGATCTCAATGAAACATATTAATTAGGTTGTGACAAACTTAATCACCTCAACACGTTCTACATGTTTTTACTTCTTAAACTTTATTCCCCTACCAATATTATGACATTGAAATATACATTTCACTATTCATTTTTTGTGTTTGCAGATCCGCGGTGCACGACTGACGCCAACATTGAACTCTTCTCGAATATTGTACATAATTTTACTCTATTTTAAAAATGTAATTTATCTATATATATTTAATTAAAATAATTCATACATAACGATATTACAGTTTTTCTTATGTCCCTAATTAAGTTGAGCTATAATACATTATTAAATATAATTTAGCTACTGAACATATAGATGCCTGCAGATTCTACAAACTTAATAAGAATATGGTCAAATTTGGTATCATTTTACTTATTTCTTTATGGACTTTTTGCTGGTACTAATAAAAAAATTAAAATTCCGTCCCACAAAAAAATTTAAAAATGCAGTGGGGTTGCTACTAGGTGACTAATTATAAAACAGCTGCTCAAGGAAGTGGGCGAGCAAGGGACGGCCCCGACCCGGTCGCAGGTAGTCTAGGGTCCAGACGCCAAGTTAGTGTATACAGAGAATATACAGGGAGTAATCTGGGCATAGCACAAACATGGGACATAGAGAATAGAACTGTGGTCTTCTGCATTTTATATATACAGTGTAGTATATTATAGGTGGCTGAGCTTTGCTAGAGATGTGTGAACAAGCTACAGGTGGCGACACGACACTACTCAGGGAGTAATCTGGAATCTGGGCACATCACATCACAAAAAAGACATTGATTATAGAGAATAGAACTCTGGTCTGTGGCGTTTGGTATACTCTGTGTATTAGAAAATGGCCATAGTTTTTTATACGTCTTGACTCCTGAGACAACGCTTTGCTAAAATAAACGGTATCATACTGACACATACTTTCTCCCATTAGCTTGTCAACAACCTTTATCATGGGTATTTTCGGTGAGAGTAAATATGATATTTTATATGGAAAAATCACAATAGTTGCAGTAAATTTTGAACCGTAATTTTTACAGCATTGAGGAGCTCTTTGTTGTTAAATTTAAATCATCATTCTTTATGTATTTTACCCTCAACGAGTACATCTAATAAATACATTTTCGAAATACAATTACATGAAAAACAAAGTTTGGTAAATTAGTTTCACTGTGAAACTAGGTAAATAAATAAATATACAGTGTGTAAATTAAGTCTTAAAACAAATCTGTATTTTTAAAACCGAAATAGATTGAAATATTTTGTTTATAGCATTGATTCTTAACAAAGGTTCCGCTATTTTTAATACACAGTGAATGTTATAACCTCCCTAACAGGGTAGGTGGTAACTTATTTTTTTTAAATAGCAACACCTATTGAGTGACCCCTCATTTTGAAGGGCTTGTCAAAAGAAACACAATCACGCAAATCCGAGGTGAATATCTCACCTCTAGCAAAAAATGGCCGGTATTCCAAAATAGGTGCTTTTTACATAAATCAAATTTTGGAATACCCGCCATTTAGGCTAGGGATGAAATATCTACTTCGGGTTTGCGTCATTGTATTTCTTTGACAAACCCTTCAAAATGAGGGGTTGTTATTTAAAAAATAAATCACCCCATCCTCTACCCTGTTAAAGGGGTTAAAAAATATTGTTGATTAAAAAAATTGCGCAGCCTAACAATCAATTCCACAAACAGAATATCTCTATCTATTTCGGTTTATAAAAGACAGATTTGTTTCAAGACTTAATTTACTCTGACTAATTATGGTAATAACGTACCTCGTCAGACAATCCTTGACATGTTTTGTAGTGTCAAAAATAACTTACTACATGTTTCGGTGGTTCTTCAATTCCACCATCGTTAGGCACACAAAAGGATCCACTTCTTGAGGTGTCGTCAGAGTTGTTACACACATTTTACACAAACACAAAACACGAAATACGGTAACAGATGAGATAGGCCTATCAACTTACAGTATGCACGTACATTGCCGCATGCAGGACTGGAAGTAGACTAAACCAGGTTATGAAGGACCGACGTGGACTCTGGATTGTCTGCGTTATCAACAGCTGATATTGGACTATTGTAGTGACGGAGTAGAGTGTTGAAAATATAATGGGATTCATAATTGAGTTTTTCATTCAAAATTTGTGTGCTGTCCCTGGTTTTTATGTCCTTACATATTTCAAACTCCTCCAAGGTATTTAATAAGTTTCCTTTCTTACAGTAATGTAGAATGTCGAGACCATCATTTATAGCCAGCGAATTTGGATTCCTGCAATTTAAGTGTAAGAACTGGTCGATGCTCTTAGTATCTTATTTTGAAAGCTCTCCCACTTTGTCCTACATAAGTGCTCGGGCAATCAGCACTTTTTATGCGGTATACACCTGTCTTTTCGTATTTATCAACATGTGAGCGCTTGCATTTAGATATGTTCTGCAGCCGATTTGTAGTTTTAAACGCTATTTTAACACCATGTTTATTGAGATCTTTCTTCAAATACTTGTTTATTTGGTGGTTGTATTCAACGCAGCAATACACTACTTTGTTATTATCATTATTTGCTGGCATGCGGCATGTATTTTCCTTTTTCTTTGCAACGATTTTGTCCACAATCTCAGATTTGTATCCATTGGCCACGGCAAAGTGTTTTTTTTTATTATATTAAGCTCTTTATTGTATTTTTCTGGACTTAGTGGGACATTTAGTAGTCTGTAGACCATTGAGATATTGTTGCGTTTTTCAAGAGTGAGGTCCAGAAAATTTATTTTGTTGTCTACTTCCTTTTTCACAGTAAATTTTAGGTTCGGCGACACAGAGTTTAAATATTGGTGTAGTAAATCAAGTTGACGGTTGTGGCCATAAAATATTATAATAGTGTCGTCTACATATCTAAAGTATTTCAGTATTCTATTTACATGTTTGTTTTTGTCTGAAAAAATGATTTAATTTTCTATATTATTTAAATAGATTTCTGACAAGATGCCCGAGAGAGGGGATCCCCCTCTACAAAACATGTCAAGGATTGTCTGACAAGGTACGTTTTTACCATAATTAGTCATAAAACGCAATCCTTGGGCTATAAAAATAACATTACAATTAATTTACACACTGTATAAACAGTAACACGCAATAAATAATTCAATAAATAAATATATGATTGATAAATCAACGTAGAATACCTGTAGATGAACAATAAATATCTGCACTGATAGCTGAACCAAAATTCAAAATTTTTTATATTCAAACATGCATTAAGAAAAAGAACAAAATTGGAATTTTAAATCAGACGTTTAAGGGGGATTTGAATGAAGAGGGACATATCAGCTGTATGTTGCCTGCGGACCTTAATATCCATTCATTCTATAATATAAAAAATATATATTTTCTAATGTTCTGCTAACTCAATTTGAAACTTAAAGGTCGACATATTGTTTTCCACAAACATTACTATCCATTTCCGATTTGCCCATTTCATTGTACCTACAATCAACGAATGCATGCCATCTATTCTCTATTTCCCCACACAGTACACATTCTATTCCCTGTCTCATCTTTCCTGCACATCCACAGCCAGGTTCCTAATCTATATCTCGCTATCAGTGACCTCTGACTTGGTTTAAGTAAACAAACATACTCTGCTCCTGACCTAGGCACTCATATCATCCTTATAACTTCTAAACTTTTCTTCTTCATCACCTCACTCCACAGTAGTAACATGCATTCTTTAAAACATCTTTAATTTGTTTAATATTTTTTTAGCTAAGAGTATCACTTTGCCAAACCTCCAATAAATTAATATTTTCCAATAAATAACTGCTTTATTTTGGTTGGTTATGAATTGTTGCATCTATTACTTGCAATAACTTACAATACCATTGTCATTTCTTATCTAATGAGGTCTTTATTATTAAAAGTTATACTGCCGTTCTTCCTTTAGCTTTAAATTATGTTAGCAACCTAGCTTCCAAAACATAAGTTAGTTGAACCGTAGAACCAATTTCTTTGTATGGAGCAGAAATCTGGGGGATGTGATGAAGAATTTTAAACCGAGTGTAGTCATAGCACATGGTAAAAGATTACTGGATGTAAAGTAATAGAATAGTACAGCCAATAGTGGAGCGATTTTGAAAACTGGTTATATTTGAATAGAACCGGTACAATATTTTTCTATACGGTTGATTAGAAGGACAGATAGATAGCCAAATCACTTTCAAAATATCGATAGAACATATTATAAATTAGTCCACATTTTTAAAGTTGCTTAGGGGCAGCTTGGATACAACGATGTAGTTTGACCACACTAAACTAAAGTCTGGACTCAAACTCCGCCGGGTTAGCGTCGTCTGTTATCATAGCTGATCGTTTTTAAATGTTTATTTATTACGTGTAAAACATGACGTTCTTTATATGAAGAAAGAAAATCTTCCTTACGCCTGATGACGGCTCCACATAGGAACCGAAACGGAAACCTTTTAAACACATTTTAGTTGTAACAGTATCATTCTTCATCTTCGACCATATTTCAAGATTTTTCAACCGACCACGATCACTTTCCAAGTTTCACATTGCCGAGACGCTGTCGCCGAGCAACCTATTATA